CCTTCCTCTCTCTCTCTCTCTCTCTCTCTCTCTCTCTCTCTCTCTCTCTCTTTCTTTCTTTCTTTCTTTCTTTCTTTCTTTCTTTCTTTCTTTCTTTCTTTCTTGCCTCTGAATGGGATTGATTTGGGAACTTATTGAGCTTAATCCCTCTGTACTTCTTCAATTGTCTTACGTTGTCCTGTATTGATGTTATGATATAACTGTGTATGTGTTTCTGCTAGGGTTGTCAGGTCCCAATGCCACGCTGGTGGGGGGGTGGGAGGAAACTTTCCAGGAGTGGGGCGGAGTGCCGTGATGCACCGACGTCACGCAGAAGTGACATCAGCACGTCGGGGACATCACGCGGTGATGCTCTGGTTTGGGGTCAAAACTCTATGGTAGAATCAGCCTCAAATCGTAAGGGTTTTCCCCAAAAACAAGAGTGTCACCATGAAATATCCCTGATGTGCTGACATCCCTTCCACGTGTCATCAGCAGTGTTCCCTCTAAGCTGAGTTAGTGCGAGCTAGCTCACAGTCTTTTAGCCTCCAGCTCACACAATTTTGCCTTAGCTCAGGAAGGAGGGCTCCAGAGCAAACTGATTTATGCAGGAGCCAAATGGCTCGCTCACAACTTCAATGGCAGTAGCTCACAAAGTGGAATTTTTGTTTACAAGACTCCACAGCTTAGAGGGAACATTGGTCATCAGCATGCCACTGCTTGGGGGCGGGGCTTCCTCCCGCTGGCCGGTGGTTGGGCCGAAGCCCCCGAAAAACCAGGGGATCCCCCACTTGCCAACTGAGGAATGGCAACCCTAGTTTTCACTAGCTCTGGACTGACTTGAGAGCTTCGTAGTGGGAAGGCATTCTAAAGAAAATGCTAAATGAAGAAAACAAAATCTGTGCCTGCTCAGTATGATCACTGACCACTTCCTCCTGAAAGAGACCCGAAAGCAGTTCACAATATTTATAAATAAAATGATTTTTTTTTTAAAGTACAGCTTAAATCAAACAAGGAGAAAGTTACAGACTGGGCCCAGTCTTGCATCCAAAGGTCCATCGCATTCCAAAGCACGCGTCGTAAGCCAAGTTAATTCCAGGAGACGGAGGAGGGGGAGCTCAACTTAGAATTTAGGGTTGCCAGGTACCCCCAGGCAACCAGCGCAGGTCAGGGGGACTTACTGACAGCGGGAGGGAGGCCAAGGCTACTGACGTGGCAACATCACTTTTGTCATGCACCAGAAGTGACATCATTGCATCACCGGCAACACAGTACATTCTAGTATTTGGGGCGAAAAGTCTTTGGTAGAAGCCATTTTGACCATAGAGCTTCTGCCAAAACACCAGTGCATCAGCGGTCACATGATGACATCATTTCCAGTGCATGTCGGAAGTGACATTGCCACATCGATGGGGACAGTGTCCTACGCCTCCCTCTGCTACCTGTAAGCCCCCCACCAGCCAGCTGTTCGGCAGCAGGGGGCAGGACCCAGGGCCAGGGGGAGCCCCGTGCCAGCAGGGGGCTGGCAACTCTAATTGAGATGTTGCAATGTTTCTCCCACTCTTCCCTCTTTGCAACGATAACGGTTTTGTCCGTACATGACTTTTTTGCCACCTCCTCCTCCCCTGGCCCAGAACTTTACTTTGCCGTGTACTTGGGTTGCCGTCCCCCCCCGATGGGGGCGGGGATTCCCCTGACTTCCACCCCCCTATCCCCCGCTGGACAGCTGCCAGCGGGAGGAGCCCTGCCCCTGAAGAGCTCCCCGGCGTCCGACATGCCTGGCGTGATGGTGTCACCCAGAGGTGGTGACGTCATGCTGGGCACGACGCCGGGGGGACGCTCTAGCATTTGGCCAGAAACTCTATGGTACCAAGAAGATGTATTTATTGTATGTATTGATTTGATTTATACCCCTCCCTCCCCGCCAGAGTAGGCTCAGGGCGGCTTACATATATGCAATAGCTAAAAACGACAATATAAAATAAGGGCATTAAAATCTTAAAAACAACAACATAAGGTGCTAGTGAAGAATTTAAGTGACATGGCGAAGGCAGAGTAGCATCGACATATTAGTAAATGCAGTTGGTATTTGCTTTTAATGTCGTCGGAAGTCAGGCTGTCGGTGGTGATATTGGGCCCAGGGCCTCGATGTATTGGGTGCAGCTCCTTAATAAAAGGCCTGGTGGAAGAGCTCCGTCTTGCAGGCCCCTGTGGAACTGTAGAAGGTCCCGCAGGGCCCTGAGGTCTTCCGGGTGCTCATTCCACCAGCACAGAGCCACTATTGAAAAGGCCCTGGTCCTAGTTGATGCCAGCCTGACGTCTTTAGGGCCCAGGAAGGAACCTCCGTCCCCCCCACCAGCAGAAGGTAGGGATCTGGCAACCTTACTGTGTACTTTTTTTTTACCCGTCCTAGTGTCAGAAGAGGCCCTCTTGGAATGATAGTTTTGATTAGCATGCGACGTATGCCTTCCTTCATCTGGTTTCTGTTTGTCTTCAGGTACCGGCTATGCCGTGATACTCATAGCCCTCTACGTGGGTTTCTACTACAACGTTATCATAGCTTGGTCTCTTTACTATCTGTTTTCATCCTTCACGCTGGGGGAGCTTCCCTGGACGAGGTGTGACCATCCCTGGAACAGTCCCAACTGCACAGACCCCAGACTCATCAACATGTCGGCGTTTGCCAGTGGCACCACGTACTCCAAATACAAGATCACACCTGCCGCTGAATTTTATGAGTAAGTTTGGTTTCCTGGTTCCAGAGGGATAGCCGTGCTAAGTCCCTTGCAGCAAAATCAAAGAAACAGGAGTCCCATGCCATCTTTAAAGACTAAGTAGCAACAGCAGCTTTTGTGGATTAGGGCTTTGGCTCAGTGGTAGAGCCTCTGCTTTCAATGCAGAAGGCCCCAGGTTCAACCCCCCAACATCTTCAGTTAAATGGACCACGTAGTAAGTGATGTGAAAGACCCCTACCTGAGACCCCGGCGAGCCACTGCTAGTATGAGTGGACAATACTGACCTTCAGGGCTATTTTTGGGCAGGAACGCACAGGAACGGAGTTCTGGCTGGCTCCCGAGTTGGCCACGCCCAGCAGGAACTCATTAGCATAATAGGCCACACCCAACAACAGAAACTCATTAGGATTGGCTACAGTAGGGGTGTGTGGCCTAACATGCAAAGGAGTTCCTGCTACAAAAAAAGGCCCTGGGTTTTGACAACAAACAAGGTAAACAGAATAAGAAGCAAAAGGTGGGCGTGGCTGGATGACCACACTTCTGGTAACATGGGGTGTGTGGCCTAATAGGCTAATGAGCTATGCTCTCATGGGTGTGGCCTAATAGGCTAATGAGTTTTGCTGTTGGGTGTGGGTGTGGCTGGATGACCACACGTCTGGTAACATGGGGTGTGTGGCTTAATATGCTAATGAGTTTCTGCTGTTGGGTGTGGCCTATTATGCTAATGAGCTCCTGCTGGGCTTTTTCTACAAAAAGAGCCCTGCTGACCTTGATAGACAAATGATCTGATTCAGTATAAGGCAGTTTCATGTGAATCATGTGAAGATGTGTGTGGTGTAGGATTTTTAGTCCCCTTGTGGGACTTGCCCCCAGCTCCCCTTTCCTGCTACTGCTCAGATTGGAGAAAATAGAATTTAAACTGGCCATCAGGCCTATGGCATGATGTTACTTCCAGGCAGGGCTTTTTTTTGTAGAAAAAGCCCAGCAGGAACTCATTAGCATAATAGGCCACACCCAACAGCAGAAACTCATTCGCATATTAGGCCACACACCCCATGTTACCAGAAGTGTGGTCATCCAGCCACACCCACCTTTTGCTTTTTATTCTGTTTACTTTGTTGTCAAAACCCAGGGCTTTTTTTGTAGCAGGAACCACACACCCCTAATGTAGCCAATCCTAATGAGTTTCTGCTGTTGGGTGTGGCCTATTATGCTAATGAGTTCCTGCTGGGCTGGGCCAGCTCAGGAGCCAGCCGGAACTCCGTTCCTGTGCGTTCCTGCCCAAAAATAGCCCTGTTTCCAGGAAAACCCCAGAAGTGATGTCCCCCTCTAGGAACTGCTGGGAATTCTATGATTTTACCATGTGATTTTGCCATGGTTTTACCACAGAGTTGCCAGTGATTTCTAGAGCGATGTAACTTCACTTCTGGGGTTTCACTGGAAGTGCCATCGTGCCATAGGTTTGCCAGGTCTCTCCTGACAACCGGCAGGGAGTGGGGGGCTGGGCCATGTCACCTGTGTCACACAGGAAGTGACATCATCATGCCAGTGACTTTTGGGTGACACTCTGGTATTTGGGCAAAAGCTCTATTGTAAAACTGGTTTCTACCGCAGAGCTGATGGTGTGATGACATTACTTCTCATGCAATGCCAGCAACATGGCCTAGACCTTCTTCTTTCTACTGGTAAGTCCCCTGCCAGCCAGCTGATTGGTGGCTGGGGGCAGGGCCTGTCAGTGGGGGACCCCTGCCTCCACTGGGGGTATCCGGCAACCCTATCATGCCATTTAGGGCTGCCAAGTGGGGGCGGGTGGCGGGTAAACCCCCGCTTCGGAGGCCCGATTCCCGCCACCGCGGAATTGGGCCCCGGGGGGAACTCTGCCCCCCCGAAGCGCAGCGTGGCTGCAACCATGTCAATCATGCGCATTGACGGATGGCTCCCGGAGCCCGGCGAGGCTCCCCCGCCAGTAAGAAAAATTGACTTGGCAGCCCTAATGCCATTGCTGATGGTTATCTCCCTCATATCCCCACTTCCTGGTCTCCCACTGGTTGCCAGGCCTGTAAACCCTGATGTGGTAAGTCCTAACTAGGCAGACATTTATTTAGGGGTTATGGAAAAAAAATATTAGCAGGGTCAAAGGACCATGGAATGCAGGAAGTACTGAGTGAGATTTAATCATGCACAACTCAACATAGTCAAGAACAGAGTGGTCAGTTCAATGTAATCAAGCCCTGGTTATTCACAATAGTGACAATTGCCCTTTTCTCTAGTTTCCCTAAGCTGGTTTGCACCAGAAACGACTGTGTATTCTTAGGCTTTACCAAGCTAGCTCCTAGTATGACTACCAAATCCCAAATTCTTGTGGAAGCTTTTGGGCTGAAGAGAGCATCCATGGTTGTAAGGCTCTTGATGTCATCATGAAGAAGGTCCATGGTCATTTCAGGACTTAATTGCATTGGCAGCATTTTCAAGCATCGTTTTATTAAGGGACACACACACACAAAGCAGCCAAAATAAACAATGAATCCGTTCCCAAACACAAACAGTTTCTAAGACCACACTTTTGTGATCTCACTGGGGCAATGGCATAAATAAATCGCTTTACTTACGGAAGTTGCTGAATGTAACAATCTGCTTTATTTCAACCAGCTCCTTCAGACTAACACAGAAAAATGAAAGTAAGTAAGAGAGCAGTCTAGGGGGTGGAGTTTTTCTGCATCCCACAATCAGGTTCTACTTAACTCTTTACTATTCATTTTACTATACACACGACTTCTGAAACAAATGCAAAACAAACTGAGGGACTGTGTTCTCTTCTTCTCTCACACACTCACTGGGAAGAGCCTCATGCCTGCTCGCCCCCCCCCCACCGCACCCTTCATCCTGCTGAGATTTAAAGGCACACACACATTCCCAAACACAAACAGTTTGCAAGCTTCTTCTAAAATGTCCTGCTGAGATTTAAAGACACATCATGGCTGTTGGGGTGGGGAGGAGCCTGCAAAATTGGGGTATCCTCCGCCCAGACCTGGGGGCCGGCAAGCCTAGATGGGAATCCTTTTTTGGGCTGTAGTAGAACATCACCACCATAAGCAGTTGGCAGGTACAAACTCCAGGATACAACTTGATACCCGAATGCAACTTGATACAAAATCTAATGTGTGGTTTGGCCCTCAGACGATACAGGAAAACCCATAGGGCACAAATAGGGAGGGCGGCTTATTGGTTTCTTTACTTCGCTTATCGTCTTTCTCATTGAGACTAAAGGCACATTACAAAACGGTAAAGCAATTTTATAAGGACCAGTCTCATACCTGAATAAACAGTATAATACAACTGTATTACACAATAAGAGAAAAAAATGAAATAAAGATATGATAATACATCCAATGACTAATGCGGTATGGGAGGAGGAAGGGTTAGCCGCTTACTTGGAGCTGTGGGAGACCTCCTTCCACAGCCTCCCAGCTTGTGCTGCTGTTTGAATGAGCCATGGCAGGAAAATGGGGGAGGAAGTGAGGTTAATCGACACTCTAGGAAGTCTCTAAAACTCTATGGCCTTATCATAGAGTTTGGGGAAATTCCAAGAGTGTTGTTTCCAAGTGAAACCTGGAAGTGGTATCACAATGCCAATCAATGCTTCCCTTCCCCATGCTCTTACCCCCCCAAAAAAGCTGAGGCTTGGCAACTCTGGTGGAGGAACTACCTAAAATTTCTCACAAACAGTTAAAACTGTATCCCTATTCCCTTTATAAAAAGTTCCCTCCTTCACAATCTTGTTTGATCAGATTGTTATTCCTTTTACATAATGCCCTTTTAAAGGACATTATTAATATAGAATATTCTTTAAATAAGTGTTTATTTAAAAAAAAAACTTGAACTTGATACATAGCCAAGAGACAATGCAAACAACGAAGAGGCTGTTTGTGACAAAGACCACAAAAGTACGTACATGAAGGCCCCTGCTATTTTCTCTAGATAGTCATTAATGACAGCGGAGCATTTCCTATTGTTTCCGCTCTCATTGTACAAAAAAGTAATACCAGAAGGAAGTTCGGAAATTGGCTGTCTCTATTCAAGCTGGCAGCCGAACAAAAACATGGATTCATTTCTCCTTCTGGCAAAGTATGTTTGTTTAGTGATCTGTTTCGTTTTATTTCTTTATGTTGAAGTTGCTCTCTTTCAGCTGTTTGGTTGCCGTTTCTGAAACACATAAAGATTCATACCCTAGTAATTGAAACAAAGGGGTAATTGGAATAAAATCCCATTGAAAAACAGCCTTTCAGCTCTGGCTGTTGTTGGAATATAAGCCCTGAGCTAGATTGTGATATCAAAATGCATCATTACTCAATTGGGGTTATGAATTTGGGGAGCTCTTGCCTCTAATCTAAGCCAAACGGTAAACCCCCAAAGTTCTTCTCCAACTAGAAAAAAGAGCCAATTCACACCCTCTTCTCACACCCCAAGAAAATATCTTGGTTTACGATGGGCAAAGCCAGGAAAGGAGATATCTCAGTTAAATTGGTGGTGGCAGCTACAAGCATGGACGGCTTCAAAAGGGAATTAGATAAGCATATGGAGCAGAGGTCCATCAGTGGCTATTAGCCACAAGGTATAGATAGGGGCTCTGGGGCAAGTGGAGCTCTGTCTTCTTGGTGCTTGGGGGGGTCAACAGTGGGAGGGCTTCTAATGTCCTGGCCCCACTGGTGGGCCTCCTGATGGCACTGGTATTTCTGGCCACTGTGATACAGAGTGTTGGATTAGATGGGCCTTTGGCCTGATCCAACATTGGCATCTCTTATGTTCTTATGTTCTTAAATTTTATCTGCCTGTGGTATTAGAACCAGAGATGCGAGACCTCTGGGTAAACTTATTTTTAGGGTTGACAGATACCCCCTGGTGACTAGTGGTGGGTGAGGGGGATACTGACAGCAAAAGGAGGCTCTAGTATATTGCACAAATACCAGAGTCTTCTTGTGCTGTTGGCAATGGGATGACATCACTTCTGATGTGCGCCAGAAGTGATGTTGCCATGTTGTCAACAATGCCAGCCTAGAAGAAGAAGAAGAGATTGGATTTATACCTCGCCCTTCACTACCCAAAGGAGTCTCAGAGAGGCTTACAAACTCCTTCCCCTTCCCCTCCCCACAACAGACACCCTGTGAGGTAGGTGGGGCTGAGAGAGCCCTGACAGAAACTGCTCTTTTTTCAAGAACAGCTGTGCCAGAACTACGGCTTGCCCAAGGTCATCCAGCAGCTGCAAGTGGAGGAGTGGGGAATCAAACCCGGTTCTCCCAGATTAGAGTCCGCACACTTAACCACTACACCAAACTGGCCTAGGCCTCCTTTTGCTGTTGGCAAATCCACTTGCTGGCCAGCTGATTGACAGTGAGGGGGAGGACCCACAAGGCAGGGGTTACCCCACCCTTTCCGGGCCTGGCAACCCTCCTTATTCTGGTATGTGGCATATGTGAGTGGTATCTGGTTCTCTAGATGCACAGAGAGAGTTATAAAAGGGCAGTCATAAATTCTCTTCACCTGCCAAACGTTAAGTTCCGTCATGTTCCTTCCAATTTATGGTGACCCAATAAATAATGAAGTACTACAGGCTCAAGTGGTTAAGAGGCTGAGCTGCAGGCTGTGGAAGGTCGGCAGTTCGAGACCCGCGTGCCGCATGACGGAGTGAGCTCCCGTCTCTGGCCCCAGCTCCTGCCAACCTAGCAGTTCGAAAGCAAGAAATTGCAAGTAGATATATAGGTACCGCTTCGGTGGGAAGGTAACAGCATTCCGTGCACCTCGACATCTAGTCATGCCGGCCACATGACCACGGAAACGTCTTTGTACAGCGCTGGCTCTTTGGCTTGGAAACGGAGATGAGCACCACATCCCTAGAGTCGGATTCAACTGGCTTTCGATCAGGGGAAACCTTTACCTTTACCTTACAGTCTTATCATGTGACAAACATCGGTTTCACCTATGGAAATCAGCCATTCAAACAGACCCTTGTGCAATAAGAAACAATCTGTAGTGGCCATCCCAAACCATAGCCTTCATGTGGCTGGAATCAATGGGTCTTTGACTTTCACACGATGTGTTCAGAATCAGGCATCATTCTGTTTGTTTTGTCTGGCTCCCTCTTAAAAGACCAAGACTGAAAAACAATGTGGGTGCATCCCCTCAAGCTTCGTCATGGTCTTTTAAACTTTGTTTCCTGTTTAGGCTTCATATCCTTTAACGGCTCCAAGAAGAACATGCCTTTTATCCCAAACCATAACCTTCATGTGGCTGGAATCAATGGGCCTTTGACTTTCACACGATGTGTTCAGAATCAGGGCATCCTTCTGTTTGTTTTGTCTGGCTCCCTCTTAAAAGACCGAGACTGAAAAACAATATGGGTGCATCCCCTCAAGCGTCTTATCATGTGACAAACATCGGTTTAACCTATGGAAATCAGCCATTCAAACAGACCCTTGTGCAATAAGAAACAATCTGTAGTGGCCATCCCAAACCATAGCCTTCATGTGGCTGGAATCAATGGGTCTTTGACTTTCACACGATGTGTTCAGAATCAGGCATCATTCTGTTTGTTTTGTCTGGCTCCCTCTTAAAAGACCAAGACTGAAAAACAATGTGGGTGCATCCCCTCAAGCTTCGTCATGGTCTTTTAAACTTTGTTTCCTGTTTAGGCTTCATATCCTTTAACGGCTCCAAGAAGAACATGCCTTTTTTATTATTATTAACGCTGCACAAAAGAGCATACTCAGAGAAGGGAGATATAATTGTCCTAGGGTTATCATTCCTTAGTTTGGGGACGCGGGACCAATGTTCCCTCTAAGCTGTGGAGTCCTGTGAGCAAAAATGAGCTGCTTGGTGGGAGGAAATCCCCTACTCAGAGCAACGTTGGGTGATGTGCCGATGTAGGCACATCGATGATGTGGGGGGGGGGTGATGCTCTGGTTTGGGGACAAAACTTTACCATAGAGTTTTGGCCAAAAACCAGAGTCTCGCCGCCGTGCCTATGTCACTTCTGGCTGATGCATGCAGGGCTATTTTTGGGCAGGAACGCACAGAAACGGAGTTCCGGCTGGATCCTGAGTTGGCCACGCCCAGCAGGAACTCATTAGAATAATAGGCCACACCCAACAGTGGGAATTCATTAGGATTGGCTACATTAGGGGTGTGTGGCCTAACATGCAAAGGAGTTCCTGCTACAAAAAAGCCCTGGGTTTTGACAACAAACAAGGTAAGCAGAATAAGAAGCAAAAGGTGGGTGTGGCTGGATGAGCACACTTCTGGTAACGTGGGGGTGCATCCTAATGTGCTAATGAGCTGTGCTGTCAGGGTGTGTGTGGCCTAATATGCTAATGAGTTTCTGCTGCTGGGTATGGCCTATTATGCTAATGAGTTCCTGCTGGGCTTTTTCTACAAAAAAAGCCCTGGATGCATGACATCACTTCTGGTGACGTCAGCCCATTGGGGGTGATGTTTCTGGCTCCCGGAGCCCCCTCCCCCCCCCCCCGCCGGCATCTCAAAGAGACCTGGCAACCCTAAATTGTCTGCTCTTCCTGGTGTTGCGTTTGTATCTATAATACTGAATCCTGTTCCATTTAGGAGTATACCTTATTCCTGCTCCCTCTTATGGAGGCTTCCTGTTCAAAATGTTCAATGATGAGAAGCCAGTCCTGGTTAGTCTGTTGGTCTAGGCACTTGCTCTCAGCCTGTCCTACCACACAGGGTTGTTGTTGTGGGATAAAATGTGGGGAGAGCCATGAGCGCTGCCTTAAATTCTTTGCCATGAGTGCTGCCTTAAATTCTGTACTGGATTGGTCTAATGATTCTGTGTGTGTTTGTGTCTTTCTCCTTGTCTTTCGGCTAGACGACGAATTTTGCATCTTCACGAAAGCCACGGGATCGGAGACCTCGGCTTCCCCAGATGGGAGCTCTTGCTCTGTCTTTTGTTGGTGATGATCATCATTTTCTTCAGCTTATGGAAAGGCGTGAAGACATCAGGAAAGGTATGAGGGTGCGGACAGGGCCCTTGGAGGTCTGAGACCTACCATCTCTTTGTATGGCCCTTGTCCTTTATGGTGACTTAAGAACATAAGAAGAGCCTTGCTGGATCAGACCAGTGGCCCACCTAGTCCAGCATCCTGTCCCATACAGTGGCCAACCAGTTCCTCTAGAGAGCCAACAACAGGGCACAGAGACCAAGGCCTTCATAAGAACATACGAAGAGCCCTGCTGAGTCAGAACAGTGGTCCATCTAGGCCAGCATCCTGTCTCACACAGTGGCCAACCAGTTCCCCTGGAGGGCCAGCAACAGGGCAGAGAGGCCGAGGCCTTCATAAGAACATCAGAAGAGCCCTGCTGGATCAGACCAGGGGTCCACCTAGTCCAGCATCCTGTCCCATACAGTGGCCAACCAGTTCCTCTAGAGAGCCAACAACAGGGCACAGAGGCCGAGACCCTCCCTTCCCCTGATGTTGCCTCCTGGCTCTGGGATTCAGAGGATTTGGATGTGGAGGTTCCCCTCAGTCACCATGGCTAGTAGTCACTGATAGACTTATCCTCCATGAATCTATCTACCCCCCTTTGAAAGCTGTTTATTTTTGTGGCCATCACTACATCCTCTGGCAGAGATTTCCACCTTTTAATCACTCTCAGTGTAAAGTACTTAAATCTTGGG